AGTAACTAGCTCTCAAGTATACTATCTGGCATGGCTTTCACAAGCTATCTAACAAAGCAGAATCTTTTATAGTGCAGCTAAGTCCTTTTTAAAGCCCTTTGTAGTGTTTCTATCACATTTAAGAACTTGGACAGAAGAATGTCCTTTACAAGCCTAAGCCTGAAAAGATGCTAAATTACATTTCAAGTTTCTTCTGGGCCATCAGTTATAAGCAGCAACCTGCTTTTATAGGTGCTACTTGAAAGCACAAATTCTTTTTAAAGACTCCTTTGGACTGACAACCTTGTTTTTTATAGGCCACTTTATCCCCTCTCTTCCCCCTTAGATTAAAAGAGTTTGCCTTATTTTAACTGTACTTACATCCTGTGAAATTCCTATTTCCTTTTGTAAAACACATGTTTTCTTAGTGGTATTTGTATATATTCAGCTAAAGTCAAGAGTATAAAGTTGTACCAAATTACTTTTTTTTTTTTCTTCCTTTCCACTTTCAAGATAGGACTTCAAGCTTCTCTTGGAATGTGTAATTTCAAGGAAAAGATATGGAAGAGGGTAAGTGGACCCAACCATTATGATCACATTTTGTTTTCATTTAAGTCACAGTTCTTTGTTTCAGCATCACTTACCAGTCACTGCTCATATTATTTAATACATCCCCACCTAATTCCCTGTTTTCCTCTAGGTTTAAGAATGCAGAGAACCAGGATTCAAATGAGATGACAGTCCTTTAAAAGAAAAATCAGTCACTGAGGCACCACTCAGGCAGAGTTTCCATCCAGGATAAAAATGAACCAACTGTCATTTAGTCAGAATTCTATAACAGCTATGTAAATACACAGTAATTCATATTTTTCAGTTCACCAATATTCCACATGTCACATGTTCTGCATCTATTGCTAATACAGAAGACAATAGGAAAGAAGTACAAATGGAATATTTTCTGAGGTGTATATAAAGAGATAAGTGCTTGTATTTAAGCCTTTGAAACCCTTCCTGAAGGCAACTGAAGATTTTGTTTCATTAGAAATGAAAAAAATATTGTCATATAGAAGAGTATTTGATCACTGCGTAAATTAAAAATTCAGATTCTTTGACAAAGTCAAAGGATTTCTACATTATCTACCAGAAGATCTGGAAGAGGTGATATACACATAGCTGAAGTCTTACAGACAAGAAACAACACAAGATAATTTGGATCTGCAGTAAAAGTTACTTCAGAGGATAATAAGACATGAAATAATTTTGCACATTGGTACATAAACAACAACTAAGAAAAGGTTAATCAACTGCAATTGTTATAGTGCTACAGCTATGCTGGTTTAAGAACACAAGGCAACACTGGTAGAGCAGATCTAATGAAAGAGATTACTTCAGTCACATGAACAGGTCACAGAAACATTCAGATGAAAGCATACCCTTTCTCAAACTACCTCGGTTCACCTGGTAGAGCTTTTCTCCTGTTGCAAACTTATGTTACTGAAACATTTACAGGCATCTGCTGCATATTCACTTAAGTGAATCATGTTACTGTGTAGATTATAGTTAAGGCTTCATACTGACAAGCAATACACTAATGCTTGGCATTACCTTTATCTACTTCACCTGCTGCAGAAAGTTTTTCCTAGAGAATCTATGGGAAAAACTTGTGATATCCATTCTATATGTTTCCATTACCTTCAAATTATAATGCATGCATTCCTACATTTAGATCAGAAGATGGCAGCTTACATTTAATTTATATCAGTGTTAGAGTGAATAACAGCAATATACACAACAGATTATCGAGCATTAGGGAAAAAAACATTTTGAACTGAAAGCCACCTCAAATGATCACAGCAATTATCTGAGTTTTCAACAATGTTTTCTCTGCAGAAAGTTTGACATCATTTAAAAAACAACAAAACAAAGAACAACAAGGCAGAACAGCTGAGACAATTAACAATGCAATGGTTTCATATAATTTCCAGTGACTCAAATCTAAACTTCACTACATTTAATGAGTTTCTACACTGCTCCCAGGCAGCACCAAAAGCATCAGTCACATGTGGCTGTTAACTTTTATTAGGCATCTCAACAGCAGACTAATTTGCAACTTTGCAACTGTTGGTCCCACAAAGCACAGCTTTTAGAGGAATAGAAGCAAAAAGCAACAACAAATATTTTAGGTTTACCAGATTAAAATAATCTGAATATCAACTTAAAATAAACTTCTGCATCCATCAAAACACAAAAAAATAAGAGAAAACAATACTTTGCACGTAATATCATATGAAGACTGTTTTTGCAGAGAGGCTGTTCAGGTGTTCCAGCCTGCCCTGGTCTTCAACTACTACTAGCTGCTACATTGCAGGGAAGTCAACAAAGCTGCAGAAGTCCTCCCTTAATGCTACTTCACAGAAAAATAACTGTTGCAAATGACACAACACTGCACAGAGGCATCAAGAGAACATACAGAGCAAGAGGCATGACCCCACAGAAGATGGTTACACATTATCACACAGCACTTCAAAATTGTGACAAGCGTTGCACTGTAGCACACAGCACTATATTTAGCATACTATCGCCCAGGCCCAACTTCTGAAAAAGTCAAGATAAGCAATGCAAGTTGTTATCAGTAATGCCAAGCTTCACACTGAAAAGAAGTTAAATAAAGAAACAGTGAAATCCAAACAAGGCTGCAAAACCCAAACCAGACGCATCTGAGATCTGTAAAGCACCAATCCTCATTTACTCAGCTGTAACCGCCCAGCAGCTTTGGTCATTTGGAGACATCTCCCACCTTCCTTTCCCAGGAGGATGCCACAATAAAGTCATGAAAATGCAACACACAGGATATGATGCTACACTTCATCAGGCAGCCCCAAGCATAAAGAGACTTCTTCCTAAGCAACACTATCGTGTTACTGGTGATTATTGCTACATCTTCCCATTGTGCTAGATGCTCGAAGGAGAGCCAAGAACAGCACAATCTAGATGTTTTCAATACACAGCTGAATAACTTATATTCAACCCTCACAATACTTTATACCCTAAACTTCTTCCATTACTCTCAACGCCAAACTTAATCCAAGAGGGAATACTGCATTCTGGATGCCTTTCTCACGAAAGAAGGAAAGGATTTCAACCTAAATCAGTTACAGATCAAAAAAGAACAAAAAGCTTTGTGCCCAGTGTTTGTTGAAAGCACGAGTTTTTTGAACTCACTCTAGATGCCCTCAAATTTCAGACAAGCTATTTTACCAAAGCATAAATACTTCTGTGCAAGAAAAATTCCTTATCAGTATATGAATACATTTAACATGTCCATAATATATGGTTCTGGAAGAAAACATACCAAACTACAACCAAAAGTCAAATCACTGAGATCTCAAAAGGGCTGAGTACATCAAAATCCATATATATTTTTAATAAGTCTAAATAGTCTCCTCATTTTCAACACAAGAGCTGACCATACAGCACTTGTGTTCACATAAAGAAACTGAGCATCCTCCAAAGCACACATTGTAACTGGCAGTGCTTTATTCCTGTGGGCATGGTGACAATATGGAGATGGAAAAGCACACAATGAGAATAAAAGGTTCATGCAGAGGAGAAAAAGGTGCAAGAGATAAAAGAATTTTATGAAGCATAAAGTTCTAGAGGAAAGAAAGATTGGTTGAGAAAAATAAACTTGTTGTTTGGCTCAGCTCCCCAGCCCTGCATCTCCTAAAGCTGAGGAAAGCCTGGATTCTTGGAGTCTGTTCCAAGTATCTTTGTTCTTCTCGCATCGATGAACTCACTGGAAAAACATCCATCTCCTCCAGTGCTAGTCTATTTCCCACTGCTATTGGCATTCCTACTTTAGTTTAAATGGCAAAGGCCTATGCAAATACATTTCAGTCCAACAGATAACCCACGTGGGTATCAGTAAGAAGTCATAACATGCCACGATGCTTGCAACAGTTTTATTTTTAACTACATAATAGAGCATTAGTATTGCTAACACAAAAATTAAGAAAAGCCACAACTCAGGCTGCCTTGTGCAACCCTCACTCACTGCTTGTATGCAAACATTATTAAGACCATTTGTATTTAAGATGGCATACTATGGTCTTGAAGCAGATCTTCTGTAAAAATGAATCCACAAAAACAAGAGAACATTTACCCTTCCTGACTTGTTTGAAAAGTAAGAATCTGTGACACACATAAAAAGGGTGAGACTACAAAGAAAAAATGAAAAAGAAAACTAGGGAATAGGGCCACCAAAATCAATCCTTGCCATTGCCACAGAGTGTCCTATATGACAGCAGGCTGGCTCCTACCTCAGCCTTTATGGTTGGTCTGTTTGTTTGTTTTATTTTTTAAACACTCTCCTCATTTTACAAGTACCTGTTTAGATAAGCTGGAACCTATCCTGCATAGGCTCTCAGTAATCTAGCAGCAGTTAGGATTTAAACATATTAATTTCTTTACACTGTGAAATACACATAGAGAAACAGCAGAACTGTAATAGTGTTCCTGCCAGAGGAAAGAAGACCATCACTATCAACAGAGTAGTTGGATGCTGTGGTGATAACCAGCAAAGGAAGGCTGAGAAGTAATTTAATAAGTCTGCTTTTCAGGAAGGCTTTCAGTAATGTAGATTGAATAAAACAGAAACTGTACAGAAAATAATAAAGTTAAATACAAGATAGCAATGAATTAAATGAATGCAATCCATTCTAATACCACAGTCCTACGTAACAAAACACACCTAAAACGTGAATGCGTGCATTCACATAATCAAAAGGCAAAACTAAATAAATGCTGTAACCATGTTCATGCCTAACTCACAAAAAACCAAGCCCAATCTACAGAGCAAATCAAGATGTGGGCTTATAAAGGGTCTAAATTCACTCATACTTAGAGAAGCCATACACATCTAAGCAAAACAAAACATTAAAACACATTACAAGACTACTTTAAATACCTGACTTGCAAATACAAGAGGAAAGACGCACCGACACCCGCAGATGCTCACTCACCTTGCTGCAGTAAAGCATCCACAGCTCGTACAGCCTCTCCCGGGATGCCATTCCTCCCCTTCCTCCTTTCCTCAGTGCCAGCTCCTTCCGTTCAGGATCCAATCATGCCCAGTTCCCCAGTGCTCTTCCCACAGTTTTCAGCTTGTTGTGACACTTATATTATAATCCAATAAGAAGTCAAAGATCAAAATAACAGGGTCTCAGTCTCTCCTTTTTGGGTAAACATAGTACGACACCAGAGACTGAGGCAGCAGCCGAACACGCCCGTTCCTCGCCAGTGGCACTCCGGGTTTAATGTCTGAAAGCGAAAACACACCCTTCAGGCCTCCAGCGGAGGAGAGCAAAACAAACCCGGACTTAAAGCCCACGGCCAGCCTCTGGAATGACGCGAGGCCAGCGGCACCGCTTTCACCCCCGGCTTTACCTCAGCACGGAGAAGCCCGGCTGCCGGCCCCGCGCCGCCTTCTCGGCGCTGGAAAGAGCGAGGGACTGACGGCAGACGCCGAGCACGGAGGGTTCACCCGCTAAAGGGCCCGGGCGGGCAGTGACAGCCGCCGCCCGGTGCCCCCACCGCGAGTACCGCAGCCGCCCCGGAGCCAGGCGAACCGAGGCGGCGGCCACCCAGATGGAGACGCCGGCAGCGGCCTTCCCCATTCCCCGCGAGAGAAGCCCCGCGCCGCGCCGTCCGCTCCGTCGCCGCCTCCCGAGAGAGCGCCGCGGCTCCGCGCCGCCACCTACCGCATCCCCGACCTCACCCAGCTTTCCCCGCTCCTCCGCGGCCTCTCCCCACAGCCCACCTGTGCCACGGCGGGAGGCGGCCGGGCAGCCCAGGGTATTGAGTGGGCCGGGCCTCGCCACATCGCCCGCCCCGCCCGCATTCCGGCACACGCCCCAGCTGCCGCCAGGGGGTGGAGAAACCGCGGGCGCCATTTTGGCTGCGGGCACGGCCGCAGGCGGGAGTTACCCTGCGGGCGGAGTGACCGCGATCGGGAACAGCCAGAGGCCTGCAGGCCCCAATGCCATGGAGCGGCTGTCCCTGAGCCCTGGAAGCAGAAAGGCGCCTGTTGCGCGCCGGACCCTTACCTAAGGAGAGGTTCTATCAGCACAGCATCTCACGCAATTGAAACAGGCTTACACAGCCTGAGGACCACATATAAACAAACATATAAGCTGCTGCTGTTGTTTTAAAGCAGCCTGTGCCTTGCGTACAGAGTTCACACAAAACTAAAGAAATACTCCTGCAAGTTACCAGATTTCTGAAAAAGAATGAGAAAAGACCTCAGCTTGATGGTGTGGCTTTTTACAGGCACATCAACAGCTATCCAGCTATCCAAGACAGAGCGTGTAAGCTAAAAGCCTACTACACCATACCTCCGTAGTCTCAGCAACACTAGAAAGAGACTCTACATCTATCTGCTGTCTTAAAAAACAAGACCAGAAACAAGACTGTATCTAACTCTGAAACAGGAAGAGCAAGCTTTAGGAAGACCGGAGCTTTTATCTCCAGTGTAGGGGAACAGTTAGGGCTTGAACTGGTACACCTGGTGAAGGGCTGTGTCTGGCCTAGGGAGCACAGGCAGATTGTTTGCACCTGTGCTCCCCAGCTGACCAGAAGGGCACAGGGTACAGCCCCTGGGCTCATATAAGTGCCAGCCTCTGAAGGGGAAGCATCTTTTAGACTTGAGCTGTTTCTGAAGAAGAATGCTATATAGCCAGAGAGCTTCTTCAGCACTTGGGTGAGTTCTATTTCTTCTTCTATATAGGATTATTGGTCTCTCTGTGAGTACTTTACCTGATATTTCTGAGAACGTATCAGAAACAATTTTACTTCTTTACAAGTAAGGGCCATTCTGTAAGGAAGGCATTAATAAAATGAGACTGCTAGGTCATAGCCTTAGCTAATGATTGAACAGTAGCTATGAAGTTGTGACTAATTCAGGGAGCTCAGGTGTAGGTGATGTTCTTGAGTGAGCAGAAGAGGTAGAGCCTGGATCCATCTCTCCTAATCCTTATTTAAGAGCTAGTAGTTAAAGGTGTAACACCTCTCTATCTCTGTATAGAGGTTATTCTTCTCTTGAGCTATTATTGATTGTTGGAAGGGGTGAGTAGCTCTTTTTCATTGTTACTTTATATTGTTTTGTAGTGCTTGTATCTCATTTGGAGGTGCTAACGTTATTTTGTTTTATCATACATTGATCCTGAATCCTTAGTTGTAAGCCTTTGGCTTCTAATACTCCTTCTTGCTCAACTAAATCCTCTACAGCTTCTTTTAGAATGTAAACTGTTATTCACTACATAAGCATTTATGTATAGGGCATTTCTGCAATGTTTTGGTTGACACTCAAAAAATTATTCTCAAGAAGAATTTAGTAGAGTCTCTGTTCTTGGAGCTGTTCAAGAAATGTATAGGTATGATTCTGAGTGATGTGGTTAGTGGGTATGATGTGGTGGGGTGGGTTGGAGTTGTACTAGATAACATTATAGAATGGCTTGGTTTGGGTGAGATATCAAAAGCCACCTGATTCAAAACCATCTGCTGTGGGTAGAGTTGCTAGCCACTTGACGAAGTGCTAGATTGTGATCTTAATGATCTTTCACATCCTTAACATCATTAATAATTACATGGAAACTCAGTGAAAAGGAATTGACTATATAATAGTATGGTATTATCTGCTTTATGAAAAATACTTGGAGTTGAATGTCTCACCAAGAGCCTAGTTTGAGATCAGTTCTTGCACTTATGACTGCATTTTTTGCTTTCAGAATATCACTATAAAGTTTTTCTGTAAAATAATTAAGGACTGATCTGTGTTTGATACTATATCATTCAGTAGAGGGAGAGTGGGAGTATGCATCTTTTCCTGCAGTGCCTAAGCATAGTTACTAGCATAAGTGGAAGGACACTAATAAAAAAAAAAGCACTTGTAACATTATTTTTAGTGGTATGTTACACATACTTGGGTACTTGCTACTAGCCATAATGCTCTGAGGTTATGTTCCTTTTTTATCAAGAAGAACTCCTAAGAGTTTAGAGTTCAGTGCTGCCCTCAGGGCAGGATCTGCTGTGCTTCACCCCTAAATTGCTTCCAGAGGACATCCTACCTCCTCTGACCATGTTCTTGCAGGACTTCTGGAGTGAATACAGGGCATTCTCATTTGCCTTTTCAACAGTCAAAAGGAGATAGATAGATCTTTGTGGTGTGCTTTGACATCTGTAGCTCCTCATCTTTTTGGAGTCTTTCTCCAGGATAAATTTAACTTTTTCTCTTTGAGGAATTCAGGCACAGGTGAAGCCAAATACAAACCCAATCTTTCTGAGATATTTCTCCATTTTTTAATTATTAGTTTGTGAGCAATTACAACTTTATCCACATCCAGGGGAGATGTTGCAGCAGACCTTAGTGAAACAATAGACTCACCCTGATGAAAATTAAGTTCTGCTTCCCACTTAACTGGGCTACTTGTGGGCAGCAGAGTAGACATTTCCCCCTCTGCTAGATTTGCAGTAGTATAGTTTACCCTGGGGAGGTCTAGGTAGTTACTGTTGATTGTATAGATAGTTCTTGTGTTCTGTGGGTGCTCTGAAGGGACAGTGAAGTATTAGTGTTTTATAGCATGTTGATCTGTTCCTGTGACATGGTGAGCAGTTTCCTGGTCTGATTTCCAGAGGGTCTCCTAAGGCTAAGTTGCATACTGTAAAGTCATTAGTGTGGTTTTCTGGAGGTCTGTATTTTGGATTTAAGTTCAGTCTTTTCTGTTGGTATAGACAGCTGGCAGGCATTCAGTATTCTCTGACTAATTATTAAGTCAGAGAGTTCTTTATCATAGTGCAAATATAAGCAAAGTGAGGGAGGTCTGTGGAAAAAGGTGGGCTACAGTTTCATCCCTGTAGATCTAGTATAATTCCTGGTGATTTCAGTGTACTTTTACTTTGTGGAGAACTGCCTAAGGATATGAAAGTCAAAGAATGGAAGAAGATTTAGAACAAGAGCTATCTGTGTGCTTTAAGATGTATTTGTGGATTGGTCTATTTGTGAAAGGTAATTACTAATTTTATTGGCTTTATATTGCTTTCTTTTTTGTAATTTGTTCCAATTGCTTCGTGGACATTAATTACTCAGGTTGGTGGTGCTATTTGTTTTTCATTGTCCTTCAGCAGCTGTCTTGTGATAAATCTGTTTACAGCAGTGGTTTTTCCCCATACTTTGCTCATCACTTGTGGTTTTGAACCTTGTATCTCTTCAGTAGCTGTATGTTAGTGTCTCACTGTGCACTGAACTTGTTTAGTCAGCAAGTTAGATAAGAGTGGGTAAAAGAAGGGTGTGGATTGAGAGAAGGCAATCTGAGAACAAGGAAAAGCTCAGTAATTGACCTGTCTGCAGCTTTGAACTGAATAATCTCTGAAGTGGAAGAAACAAACCAAATGAGAACACCTGTCTTATAGTAATGTTATTTTTAAGCTTCTTTCCTTTATATGAAAATGGAGATGTGTATACTGACTTCCAGATTATCTGGAACTGGTCTTTACACTGTAAGCTGACAGCCTTGGAAGCTCTGTCTACTACCGAAATACTGTGTAGAAGTAAGATTTGTGGATGCTGGTTCCTAGCACTCAGGCCCAATTAGCCCCAGACTGTGTTTGGGTTGGTTATTAAGAAGGAACAAACTGGCCCTGGCAAGACAGGCCTCTGAGATGCTCTGCGGAGGGTAGCACACTATTGGCTTTCTGTGAGTTTCTCTGCTTGAATTTATGCTAATTGAGTGCAGCTGTTCTGGGTAAGCTAGCAAATGTAATGTGTTTAATCTTCTGTCACCATATTCATGTTGTAACCCAGGTAGGTCAGGGCTTGTTCATTGTTTGCAAGATTTGGAAATGGGAAGGAATTTGTCCCTTAACAAATAAGCTGGTGTTTAAGGTTTTTAGTTGTTTAAATGCTAGAGGCTGACCACAGCTAAAGCTGGGGAGTGATGATTGAGCTAATAGCATTAAGTCCCTCTAGCCCCTAGCTGTTCTGCTTTCACATATTCAGGGTTAAAACATTCATCACACTTAAATTCAGGAAGGAATTAACCCCAGGGTTGCCTGGGACTATGGCAAGTGTTTTTGTCCTCTGTACTTTGATCTCATTATCGCAGGGGAACTGCAATATAATGAATCCCCTGCTGTAAAAGGCCTGGGCAGTAGCTTGATCTTTTCTGTTCTTTTTCTGCAGCATCAGCTCCTTTACCAGGGGCCTTAAAATTGCAGTTGTGCTGGGAGCTGTCTTATGTCAGGTACAGCTTGAAGACTCTTTGTAGCTAAGTATTTAGTATGTGATTACAGGCTTATCTTCCACCAAAACTGACTTCTCACTTGAAGTAAACCATCCACTTGTCTACTTTATTATTGCCAGTGCTCAGTGAAGCTACCATACTTTCAAGACAAATCATTCTGCTTTAGTAAAAATATAATTTAACAAATTATTTCATTATGTTGCAGAGCTTAGTAGGTCTCAGTCTTCAGTGTAACTTCTGAAAGTGTTAAGTGTCAGGGAAATGTCACCATTTAAGAATGTGTAGCTATCTGAAGATCTGAGCTCTGTTTCCTCTCAGCTGACAGGGTGCCTGTTCAGAGAACACCAGCTATAGGAAGTTATGGCTTATGGATGCACTGTAAGATCTTGCAGGTTAACTTATCTTGGTTTGGAGAAGAACCCAAATGAAGTCAGAACTCTAGTAGCTGCTGGAGGTGGGATTCCTGCCAAGTGTTAGTGTTGTGGCCTACCAGAAGCAGGGATGTTGCTTGCAGCACAAGGCCTCCTTGTGCATGGGGTGTGAAACCAAGGCTGTCCCCTGGCCTTCACAAATCCTCCTAGGATTCTACTAGCCAGACTTCAGAAACAGAAGGGGCATAGAAACCTGAATGATGGCCAGTGTTGTAAAACTTGAAAGAAGAGTTTTAAAATCCTACAGTGTTGTGTAAACAGTGTGCTTTTAAAGTAGGAGTGAAATTTGTGGGGTTCCACTTGCACACTGAATGGGATGTAGTCTGGGTAGCATAATGGGGTCTCTCTTCTAGTTTCTGACCCAAGACCTTAGGGAAAGCTGTTATTTCCCCCTGCTATGGAGGGGTCAGCGTGAGTTCATGTCTAGAACCAGTGTGAGGTCGTTGCTAAACAAGAGCACAGTGTAAGCTCTGATTGGGAAAACAGGAGCTATGCAGTCCTGTGCAGAACAGCTTGAGGTGGCAACAGGAACTGTTGGGCACTGGGACTGTTTTTTTTAATCAAGGCGAAGTGATTAAGTAATTGAAAGACTTGTTTTGATATCAGTAAAGATCTGAACAGTCATTGACAGAAATAACTGATCAGTAAATGTGTCAAGCACTGTAAATGCTTCACTCTGTCTTTAGTCATCTACTAATGTTACAGCTGTGAGATTGGTTTACAGTACCTCTGTGATAAAACTAGCTATGGATTTGGCACTGTGCATAGGAGAGCTATT